TCCCTCTTGTAAACGCACATGGGGAGGTACCATAGATGAGGGATGGAGGGAGAGGAAGGACGAAGATGGAGGCGAGGGAGAAGTCCAAGATCGCAATAGCAAAGTCCAAAATAGCCCCATGCCGATGTCCAATCAATGTCTGCCTCAGAAATGCCGGATCAGATCCTGGGCCACAGGCCCACCGTAACATCTGCCGATATCCTCTGCCGATAACCTCTCTCACTCTCGTATCTGAAGAAGAAGAAGAAGAAGATGGAGAAGAGGAAGGAGGAAGGAGGAAGAGGGAGAGAGAGAGATGAGATGGAGGACGAGGAGGGAGAATAAGATGCCGTCCTCCTCGCTATCTCACCTGCAGGCGGCTACCGCCGTGCTGACTATGTCGCCGCCCTGTGCAGGTACCGCGTGGAGCCCCAGCTATGGCGCCAGGTAAGTCCGCCGCTGCAGGTAAGCCTCCGCTTCTCTCTCCTCCCGTGTGCGTCTCCTTCCTGGTCCAGCAGCGCAGCGCTATAATAGCGCAACATAGTTCAGCCTCTATCCAGCAATGTGTCGCTCAAGAAGTGAGCGACCGAACTGTCCTGTGCCCAGCAGGAGGCCCAGCTATATAGTGCGCTGGGCCCTACTGGGCGAACCGTTGTGTGGCCTAGAACGGTCGGCAAGGTCAAGCTCCTACCAGGGCCCAGACCGTGCTGGGTGCAGTATGGCGCCAAAACGCGCCTGGGCCTGTTTCGGCCCTGCAGCGTGGCTTAAAAATGCGCCTGGGCCTCTTTCGGCCCTGTGTCTGGTGCACCCAGCCCAAGGCCGTGCCTTGGGGACTGCAAGTCCGAAATGGTTTATGAACCGACAAAAGTAGGGCAGCGCCTCACCTCATAAATCAAATGAGTGAGTGCTGCCTCACCCGGTGCCTGCGGCCTAGAGGGCCGCCGTGGGCCTCCAGGGCGCGTGCTGGATGGCATGCGGCCGGGGGCCCCTCAGCAGCCGTTGGGCCCCTGCAAATGGGCCCGTGTGCAGGCGCAGCATGCAACACCCCCCCCTCCTTATGAAGTCAAGCCGGGTTGAGGGCGAAGCTGACGATCTGAAGGTGGAACCTGGACGCGGGTGCGACGTGGAGCCGAAGATGCCGGCTTGCCTTGCAACTTGCGTTCGTAGCGTGCAAGAACATCGGGAGTTGTTGCTTGTAGTTCCGCACGGGTCAACCAACGGTCAGCTCGATGGGTGCAGTATGCGAAATGGACCAAGAATTCAGTCGGCCTGTCGTCGTAACGTCGCTGGGATATGATGTCCCCAACCTCTTGAAAAACGTCCATCGAGGGTGGGTCTTGTGATCGTCGCTCGGGAAAGTCGTCATGTTCCGCTGGCGTGTAAAGAGCCAACTTGGAGCAGTGAAAGACCGGGTTGACGGGCAAGTGGGCGGGCACCTAAATGACAAATGAAGGTCCTTCGGGGCGTCCCCAGTGGGTTCCACGATCGGCCAGGGCCCCCATCCATTTTGGAAGGAGCTTGCAAGAGATATCTTGTTCGAGGCTGAATTTCGCGGCGGAAACCCATACGAGGTCGCTGGCGCAGAACGGACAAGGAAGACGCTGGCGGTTGGCCTGTTGGTGCTTATGTTGCTGCGTCTTCAACATCTGGGTGCGTGCCTTGACAAGAAGCTCTTGCATCCAACGAATGAATAGAGGATGGTCGTCGCTCTCACCGCCCGTGGGATAATCGTGTCCAACGGAGAATTGACAGGCGAGCCATGCTCGAACTCAAAGGGCGACATCCCGATAGTCGGATGGATGGACGAGTTGTGTGCCAACTCAACATCCGGCAACCGCTCAACCCAATCCTTTCGGTCAGGACGGATGAGTGTGCGAAGAAGAACTTGTGCGGCCTGATGTGCCCTCTCCGTTTAGCCATCGGTTTGGGGTTGGCGAGCCAGAATCAGCTTGAGAGATGAGCCCCATCGTTTGATGAGCGCCAACCAAAAATCAGACATGAACCGAGTGTTGCAGTCGCAGATGATTTCCTTGGGGTAACCCTTGGTTTGAATCCAACCTGCGTAAAGAACCTCGGCCAACTTCGGTGCCTTGGCATGATAGCGGCAAGGCAAGAAAATGGCAAACTTTGTGAGTCGGTCGACCACCGTGAGAATCCCATCCACACCAGTCTTGTGCTTGAGGAACGACCCGATAATGTGCATGGCAATCGCTTCCCTTCGACGCAAGGGGACAGGTAATGATCGGAACTCGCGTACAGATGATGATTGCGGGATTTGCAACGTTGGCAAACCTTGCATGACTTGCAATAGCGTGTGACATCGTCGAGAAGACCGGGCCACCAAAAGCGCTCGCGGAGTCGGCCAATTGTATGATTGACTCCAAAATGTCCAGTGGCGGGAGCATCGTGGAACTCGCCCAGAAGTCGCAGTCGCAAGTGTGAATTTCGCGGCACACAAAGAAGATCCTTCCCCCACGAGTGGACGGGTAAATATCCCTCTTGGATCTGATAGTGCGATGGCGCCGGATTGGGAGAGGAACAATTCGCATACTTGTCGCGAAACTCGGGGTCGTCTTGGTAGCCGCGGATGAAGCTGTCCCGCAGGTCGTCATCGATCTCGAAGGTCGAATAGACTGCGGTACAATGGTCCAGACGCCGTGAGAGAGCATCCGCAACGGTTTAAGTTCCCCGGAATGTGATCGGGAAAGAAGTTGAACTGGTCGATGAAAGCCATCCAACGGGCGATGATGCTGTGGACGGTATCTTGGGTCTTGCAAAAGACCAGCAGATTGTTGTCCATTACGCATCGGAATTGGCTTCAACCAAGGAGGAAGTGCCGCGCCACCGCTTGAGCGCGTAAACGAAGGCTAGGAGCTCCTTCTTGTGTGCATCATCAATTGAGTGCACGACGACCACTTTCTTGTTGAAGTATTCAATCGGGTGCCATTCCACGCTGTCATGCTGTTCGAGGATGGCACCAATGCCATAGCCGGACACATCCGTAGTGACGCGCGTTGGCAATAGCGGGTCGTATATGCGCAAGACCTCCGCAGATAGCAATGCGGCCTTGAGGGCCAAAAATGATTCCCGCGCATCCTTTCCAAAGTCAAACGGCCGCTCCTCGCATTGAAGCTTGGTCAAGTGAGCCGTGATCTTCGAGTATCCCTTGATGAAATGTTGGTAATAGTCGGCAAGGCCAAGGAACGAACTGACATCCGTGACATTCCGCTGCTCTGACCAATCTTGGATGGCTTGAATCTTATCCAACAACAGACTGATGCCCTCCGGTGTGACAAAGTGGCCCAAGTATTTCAACTCTTAACACACGAATTCGCACTTGTTGCGGTTGGCTTTGTACTTGGCGCGACGGAGCGTCTCCAACACTCGCCGAAGATGCTCCAGATGTTCCTCCAAGGTCCGGCTATAGACGAGGATGTCGTCCAAGTAGACCAGCATAAAGCGGTCTAGCATTGCACAAAACTCGTTGGTCATCGCTGCTTGAAAAGTCGTTGGGGCATTGGTGAGGCCAAAAGGTATGACCACCTACTCAAAATGTCCGTACCGCGTCTTGAATGCAGTCTTGTAGCGATTTTGCGGGCGTATCAAAATCTGATGATATCCCGACTTCAAATTCAATTTTGAAAAAAAAATTGCGCCGCCCAAACGCTCCAGAAGGTCGTCAATACGAGGAAGAGGTCCCGCGTTCTTGACGGTTTGTGCATTGAGCTTGCGGTAATCGATGCATAGGCGAAGATCCTTGTTCTTCTATTGTACGAAGAGAACTGGCGCACCATATGGTGAGCTACTAGGGCGGATCCAGCCTTTGTCCAACAAGTCATCGAGTTGCACGCGGAGTACTTTAAGTTCCTCCTTGGTCATGCGATAGATGCAACCTTTAGGCGGCACGACACCGGCCTCGAGAATGATCTCGTGAGAGATCGGCCGATCCGGCACCACGCCGGTAGGTGACTCGAAGATGTTGGCGAACTCGTCAAGCAACCGTACCACGCGGGTGTCCGAAGACAAATCCGTGGGTGGAGATTCGGCTACTGCGGCGGTTCGAAGAAAACATACGCCTATCTCGTCGGGCCGCTCATAAGCGCAAGTAGCCCAGAATGACTTGGCCGTCACAACTTGGCACCGGATCGAAGAGTGCGGAGGAGGGATGGTACACGACACTTCGGCGCCAAAGACGTCACGGACCGTAAGTGACCTCCGATGGAAGTTAACCATGTGATCCGCACTTGCAAGCCAAGGCATGCCCAAAATGATGTCGAAGTCCGTGTCTAATACGTCAAATGTCACCGGTTAGCATGCATGAGGTGCGAAATAGACCGGTACGGCCTCGATGTAGCGGTCAAGGAGTTGTTGCATCCTACCGTCCGCCAACATGATCGCCGTAGGGTGTACCATCCTTCGAACTTGTGGGTCGAGGCCGGCCCTTTGAACAAAGGACTGACTGAAGAAATTGCGAGTCGCGCCGCTATCCAGCAAAGCGCTACAGGACGCTTGCCCAACTTGGATGCGGACATAAAGGAGTGGTGCGTTATTGTCATCTTACCGCTGCGTGCGAAACTTAAGGGCCACCTTCAAGTTGGTAACATACGCAAGGATGTCCCCCACCGTGACTTCGTCATCCGTCGGCGAAGTTGGTGGTGCATAGAAGGCCAAGTATGTATGTAGATGAGTGCCAAGTGCTGCGCATTGCGGTCCCGGCAATCGGCCGGTGGTCGGGAGAGGAAGCCATGCAAAATCCTCGGGCGTCAACGGGTCCAAGTCCTCTATGTTGAACGCGCGTACCGAATACCGTGAAGGTCAACTTGAAGACAACTCAATGTCGTTGCTTCCGAACGGAGAAGAAACCGCACATACACCCTTTCCTTGGGCTCGTGAATTCAGCGAAGGTACGAGCTGGGCAGCATAGTCCTCGAAAGAATGAAGAATGGGAGGAGTTACGACTTCAACATGTACCCTGGAACCGAGAGAGGTTACCTGTACGACAACCGGTTCCGAAGGGGTCGAGAGTGTCGTCGCATCACTCTCGGCGGTGCTCACTTTCCCGACTGGGAAGTGCCCTTGGTTGTGCAGCTCGCGGTATCATGCGCTGAGCTGTTGCACCACAAACAATAGCGGTACTTGGTGCGGACATGATACCCACGCTCCGTAAGACCATAATGTGTCCAAGGTTCTTGAGCTGGAGCTGCTTGTTCGGGCCCGGAAGAAGTGGTGTTTGTCGTCATTTTTCCGCTACCTCGTCCTTTGACGGGGTGGCCACCATTCCGGACAGCTGTTAATCTGTCTCCCTCGTCAGAAGAGGCAGCCTCGTTTGAAGTTGAGGGATCGCTCAGCATTGTCGCCGCGACCACGACCACTTTCGTCTGATGTTGATACGCGCCCTGGCCGGCAGTTGACGAACGACCAATATTCTTGGCTTCCATGTTCGTCAAAATGATCTGCACGACATTGTTGAAGAGTTCCTCACTTGTGTTGAGGTTCTCGACGACTTGAGTCAACACATTTTGCAATGTCGGGCACGACCTCTTGATGAAGTAGAGCTTGATGTTGTCGAAGGTCATCGGCAGTTTCAGCGTGCTCGCCAAACGTTGGAACTCGGATATACATTCTCCGCTTGGCATGCTGTTCTGAGAGAATGTCGACAGCTTGTCCATCGCCTGATGCTCGGGCGGTTCCACTTGGAAACGCTTCTGCCATGTCGCTGTGAGATTGGTCCAGGTAATGAAGTTATGCAACTCGAAGACTGTGCATGCGTGTGCGGACAACATGTTGTCCAGCCATGCTTGACACACGCCTCCTGACCGTGAGTACAAGTATGCGTGTCGATTGTTGTCGCCGACCTTGTGGATGCCCAGCTTGAGTTCGAACTGGTGCCACCACTGTATAGGGTCCGTCTTCGATGCGTCACAGAAGATCGGGAGGCCATCAAATTTGGTAATGCTCTCGCGTGACGACGTGCTAGGGCCGGTTGTTGCTGCACAAACCTGCTGCTGCAGCCACTGTGCCCCGGTCTTGAGTGTTCCCACATCTATCTCCAAGACGTTTACACGATCGGCGAGGTCGGAGGGGCCGACGCTGGAGGAGGCGACGGGTCGCTGCTCCAGCTGATGTATGCGCTTGGTCAGCCGATCCACTGACTGCTGTAGCGCTTGGTTGGTGTGATCAAGAGAGTGAATGTCCTCCTGCTGTGCAATGCACGTAGCGAGAAGGTCCAAGAGGCGGTTGAGCAGTTGAGATCGCTTGTTCCCATAGTCAGTGGATTCCCCATTCTCGACCTCCTTCTGCCAATCCTTGGCCTGCGTGTGTACCGCACTTTCCTCCTTGAATAGAATCTCTCGCCGCCGTACACGTTCTTGATCTGCGGCCTTAGCTGCTGCTGCTGCATGCTTCTGCCGTTGTTCTTCTGCCAGAAGACGCAGCCTCTCTGCCTCTGCCTCCTTCTTTCGTGCAGCTAATGCTGCTTCTGCCCGCTGCTTGCTTTCGGCCATCATAGCCATCATCCGTGTCTCATAGTCCGCGTCAGATTCGCCTTGCTTCTGCTCCATCCCGGCTGTCTGTGAGCGAGTGAGAATGCGCCGCGGATTGCTGCCGTGGCCTGCGGATTTGAGGGCTTACCAATGCTGCAGCCGGGGGTAACCGATGGGCAGTTGAGAACGAAGAGGAGAGAGATGGAACAGAGAGTTGGGGGGTGTGGGGGTCGCGTGGATCGCCCAGATAAGGAGCCACTAGTAAAATAAAGGAAAAGTTGGAACTTTGCTGAAAATTTCGAGATAAAGAAAAAAATTTCGAAATTGCAAGTTCGGTAGGCTCCCTGATCTTCCCCACAGCAGATAATCAGCACGAAAAAAAAAATCGAATTTCAGACTGCAAATGAATAATATGAATTAATAGAACTGTGTAAGAAAACAAATTTCCGCAAGTTCAGCGAATTCCGAAAAATAAAAAGTTTGGAATTACTTGGGTGAGAGAAATTTGTGAGGAAGAAGCCCTCAAGGGCCCTATCAGACATCACATGATCTGGGCTAATATCCCCAGCAAGCCAAGTGCCCGCCCTAAGTGAAAGGGGCCCTGAATATTGGTCAGAGACAAAATTCGACATTTCCATATGTGGGTATTCAGGCTCTCGCAGCATGCCAGTTGGTTGGGTAGACGTGTGAGCGTCACATTAGCTATGTCATACAGTTGGCCCAGGTCTTGACAGTTGTGCCTTGGCACATACACACAAAGCAGGGCCGATACATTGGGAAGCAGGCCATCAGCCTTTGCAACAGCAGTACCGCCTACGCATCTGCCTGGGAGCCCTGCACAGATGCAGCAAACAGCCCAAGCCCGAAGACTCAGGCCATGCCCAACTGAAAAGGGCCCAGGACCTCAACTGTAGTCTCGGGCCTGGGCGCAGGGTCTGAGGCCCAACTGGAAGCTACTGGAAGCTTCCAGCCAGGCCACACGCAGCATCCAGGAGGCTGCCACTTCCACAAAAGGAGTGAGGCAGCTCAGGCCAGGCATTCTGGCCCGTGCTGGCAATGCGGAAGTGCTGCTGTGCTCTCGCTTGATGCTGCACTGCTGCCAAAGGCGCTGACGGGGCGCGTAGAGGTGAGGAGGGGTGCTGCAGGCAGCGGGGCGCAGGCGGCCATAGCCGGGCTGCTGGGCGCCAGGGGGTACAACGGGTGATCTGGTGGTCTTCAGGGAAGGAAGCACTGTGTGGGGTAATCAAGGTCTGATTGAGGGTGACAAGATACGTACCTGGTGCATGAAGAGATGTCGGCTATGGAGTTGACAGTCATGTACATTGGTCTTCAAGACTCGAGGTGAGCCTGTTGCGTGAACCAGCTGTAGGTAGGATAGTCGGGCAGAGTAGACTAGGCGCTGGGCGCCAGACAAAGAGGAGCGAGTTTGGATACTGTGTTGGCGTGTCCTACTGCCTTGAAAATTGGCTCATTACTTCATTGTATTGCTCTATATGGATGGTTTCTCGGTGCATTTTGTACTCTCTGCTTGGATACAGCTACGTCGACATCTGTGTGATTTCGCAACGTGGTTTTCTGTATATCGTTCACACTCATATTCCTTGCAAATTTCCCCAAAATATTTATTTCAGAATCTTGGAGTAACGGTTCTAATCAAATTTCGGAATTTTCGTTACCACCAGAATGCGTGAAGAATAAAAAAAAAATCAACGCAACAGATTTCCAAAGAAAATTTGAAATAAGTTCAAATAACGAATTTCGAAAATTCCAAAAAAATTCACGGAATTTTCGAATATCGGGAAGTTGCAAAAGGACATACCAATCGGAAAAAAAAAATCCGTAACAATATCCCGGATTCCCAGCAATGAAATTTCGAATTTCAAAAGAGACGAAAAACGAAACTTTCAGGTGCTACGCTATTGCGATTTTCCACGAACAGAAATAGCGGGAAAATGGAATCCAAGAAAAGAAAAAAAAATCGATTTCGACAATTAGGTCAGAATCCGCGGTTTTGGGGACTAATTAGTGTGACCTAATCAATCAATCAATCAATCAATCAATCAATCAATCAATCAATCAATCAACCAATCAATCGATCAGCCAATCAATCACTGATTGATCGATCAATCAATCAATCAATCAATCAATCAATCAATCAACCAATCAATCAATCAATCAATCAAACAAACAATCGGTAAATCCGAGATCAATCAATCAATCAATCGGGAATACACTAGACCCCGGACACGTGTCAGATCAGGTTGTTAAGTCCTGATTCACGTGCGGGGCTCCGATGCCAACTGATACATTCCCAGTTGGGCAATGTAGGTGCAGCCAAGGATCCGCAATGTGTTGAAAAGGACTGAATGGACAATGCAATGTTTGTCCAACATCAACAGGCAATGTACATCCTGATACATACGAAATGGCACTCAATAGCGCAGCGGAAGACTTCAAGGTAAGTCTTGACCTGACCTGGACTGACACGACATCCCATTATACATCCACATGTGAAAGGAGGAGAAGGGACCGCACACCAAGAAGAAAGGTCCCTCCTTGTACACGCACATGGGGAGGTACTGTAGACAAGGGATGGAGGGAGAGGAAGGACGAAGATGGAGGCGAGGGAGAAGTCCAAGATCGCAATAGCGAAGTCCAAAATAGTCCCTTGTCGATGTCCAATCAATGTCTGTCTCAGAAATGCGGAATCAGATCCTGGGCCACAGGCCCACCGTAACCTCTGCCAATATCCTCTGCCGATAACCTCTCTCACTCTCGTATCTGAAGAAGAAGAAGAAGAAGATGAAGAAGAGGAAGGCGGAAGGAGGAAGAGGGAGAGAGAGACATGATATGGAGGACGAGGAAGGAGAAGAAGATGCCGTCCTCCTCGCTATCTCACCTGCAGGTGGCTACCGCCGTGCTGACTATGTCGCCGCCCTGTGCAAGTATCGCACGTAGCCCCAGCTATGGCGCCAGGTAAGTCCGCCGCTGCAGGTAAGCCTCCGCCTCTCTCTCCTCCCGTGTGCGTCGCCTTCCTGGTCCAGCAGCGCAGCGCTATAATAGCGCAGCATAGTGCAGCCTCTATCCAGCAGCGTGTCGCTCAAGAAGTGAGCGGCCGAACTGTCCTGTGCCCAGCAGGAGGCCCAACTATATAGTGTGTTGGGCCCTACTGGGTGAACTGTTGTGTGGCCTAGAACGGCCTGCACGGTCGAGGTCCCTACCAGGGCCCAGGCCGTGCTGGGTGCAGTATGGCGCCAAAACGCGCCTGGGCCTGTTTCGGCCCTGCAGCGTGGCGCCAAAATGCGCCTGGGCCTGTTTCGGCCCTGCGTCTGGTGCACTCAGCCCAAGGCCGTGCCTTGGGGACTGCAAGTCCGAAATGGTTTCTGAACCGACAAAAGTAGGGCAGCACCTCACCTCATAAATAAAATGAGTGAGTGCTGCCTCACCCTGTGGCTGCGGCCCAGAGGGCCGCCGTGGGCCTCCAGGGTGCGCCCTGGATGGCGTGCGGCCAGGGCCCGCCTCAGCAGCCATCGGGCCCCTGCAAATGGGCCCGTGTGCAGGCTCAGCATGCAACATCCGCCATGCATCAGAGGAGTACGGGATGTGCTTGCGCCTGAACGTGGGATGTCGTGGTGATGCCTGAAGAGTTATAAGCCATAGTGCTACCTTCGGTGAGGCAACAAGATTGCGGCGAAGGAGTTGAAGGAGAGGAAGCAAGAAAGCGTTTTGGTTGTATCAGGGCATAGCTTCTTAGGATTGAGTGGCAAGTGTAGCATAAATAGTGTGATGGGTTGGCATACCCTTACGTGCTCTTGACCTCCTGATTATATCCAGCGTACGCTTGGATTGAAACTTGTCGATGGACGTGTGAAGAAATGCATGATGCGGTGGCCAAACAAAGTGCTCTTAAACGTTGACGTGTGCCCCTTAGTCCTTTCAGGCCCCTTCTAACGACCGGGGCCCTTCTACCAACCAGGGCCCTTCTACCGATCAGACAGATAGTCAAGATACGCAATGTCTTCGAAATGTAATCCTTGTATCACACGATCACAACCATGATGTAGAAGGTTTTATCTCCTCATACACACAACCCATGACAGAGCCTAATGAGCTTCAGGCTATAATTGAACTCACATAGTCAAGCATACCTGCATAGACAAGCATACAAACAACATCAAATAGACAGGACAAAGAAGAGTCACTCCACAATCCATACATGCATGAGGAATGAAGGAGATGGGTCTACTGACATGTCCAAAGACAGAAGAATTTGAACAAAATCCAATCCAAGCACTGCCCAATTGGCAATCACCAATCCGCAATTACCAAGATGCACAGCCTGCTTGCAACGCAACACTGCGTAAGCCACTTCGCTGAACCACATCACCAACTCTCTTGGCACTCAAGTGCGCACAACTTCGCACAAACCTCCACTCACTCCGAGTTTCCCCCACCAGTCAAACTGACAGCATTTCCCCCTTGCACGCAAGTTTGTAACCAGCACACTTCGCATCCACTGGTATACGCACCCAATCCGTAAGGTGCGATAGTGCCGCTAGGGAACCTCCCCCAACAAATGTTGACAATCTAGGCAGATTGAGCTCAACACAGCAGTAACGCCGAAGAGGACCTTAGGCTGACCAGGGTGTTTACCAACGTTGACCAGGGTGTTTACCAACGTTGACCGGGAGTTTACCAACGTTGACCGGGAGTTTACCAGCGTTAACCGGGGCGTTTACCAGCGTTGACCGAGGAGTTGACCAGGACATAGACCAGCGTTGACCGAAAAGTTAACCGAGACGTTGACTAGCATTGATCGAGGTGTTGACCAGGGCGTTGACAGGAGCTATTGACCACGAAATTGACCAAGTTGGAGTTGGTATACTCTCGCCAAGCCTTCAACCTATCCCCTCGTCCTATGGATGTGCGCTCACCCTATGGTACTTACTGAGCCTGTCTGTCTCTTCTTTCTGCATTGAGTGGAACTCCGTGAATGTGGTCATAGAGCTGTGCTGACCAAACCCACACAGGCTCAGTAGGGCTAAAGGTTGTGTCTAACGGTTGACTGACCCGGAGGACAAACCCTCCCAAGGACCGGTACAGACCGGCGGGCTGCTTAGTGTGGCATGGTAGGCCCAAAATCCGAGTTGTGGGCTGCACAACCAGCTGTCTAAGTGTTGAGAGGACTTGTTGATCGCGTCGTTCTGTTTGCGACGTTAAACAATTCCTGAGGAGTTATGGGGGATCTCCTTAAATGCCTCCTGATCAGCGTTGAAGTCCTGTAGTAAAAGCTTAGTAATAGGTCGAGGGTAGAGACCCTAGTTGATAGGGTCCTGAACCGGAGAGAAAGCAAAGTGGGATTGACCGCAGGTGCAGGGCATATGGGTCCGGTTTGTAAAGGACAGTGGCAGCGAAAGCTTCCGTCGACCGTGGTAACTTGGCTGGATCGAAGGGTAAGGCTTTGTGGTCCTTAGAAGAGTCAGTCAGTCATTTAAGTTAGTCAGGGGATGGAGGTCTAAGTGGTGAGGAGTGGAACTGTCACTCGGTTGTACATCTAACACCATGGTTGACCTGCGTAGCGGTAAGAGCACCACCCCGTACACTAAGGCTCAAGAAGAGCAAGTCGCCGCCGTCCTGAAAGAGAGAAAAGAGAAGAAGGCCAAGAAGTTGATTAAGCAGGCCAAGAAGTTGGCCTTACTGGAGGAGCAGGGGGCGAAGAAAAAAAAGTTGCAGGAGGAGATGGAGAAGCTGCAAAGAGAAGAAGAAGAAAAGCTAAAGGGAGTAGAAGAAGAAGAAGTGGAGGAGGAAGTAGAGGTAGAAGTCCCTTTAGTCAGAACGGTCACAAGAGAGAGAGGGGAGACTAGTGGCAGAAAGAAGGAGGACCCATGGATGGAGAGGAAGATTCCAGAGTTGGTTGCTAATCTGTCCCTCGGGGAAGACGAAGAAGCGATGCTATATGTCTCCAGGGCAGAACAGGAGGCGATAATTCAGGAGTTAGAAGCAGAAGAGGATCCTTTAAAACGTCAGACCATAGAGGAGGATAAGAAGTTGGAGTGGAAGTTGCGTTGACCAGGGAGAAGAAAAGAATGGAGGAGGTGAGTAAGGCAGTAAACGAGTTGGAGGTAGCGAAGGAGCAAAGGGCGTAGATGGAGGCGCAACCGGAGTGGCAGGGAAAGATGGAGGTTATGGCCAGGAATATAGAGCTCCTGGCGAGGGCCCATGAAGAGCAGTATCAGTTTGTAAGGGGCCAGGATGTAGCACTGCGATCCATACGGCTGGGGTTTAGAGAATTCGCCCGCGAAATGATGATGCGCGTGGACTCATAAATGAAGGCGAGGCTAGAGAACACGGAGCAATTTTGTTCAGGCGCAATAGAAGGTGCCAAACTTGCTGCTCCAAGGGAAGAGGAAGTTCGCCCCCGTAGACAACCAGTTAAGGTGAAGTTTCCTGAATCCTGCAGCAGGAAGGAGGAGGAGAACTTCGATAATTGGGAGGCAAACTTGAACTCTTATGTTCATCTGCAGAAGACAGCCCCTGAGGAACATGTCCTCATCGCTTTCCATGCCCTTAGAGACGAAGCAGCTAGCTTCGCCAGGTCACTTGCCCATGCTGCTAAATGCGAGAATGATATGGTTGCCTATTCCCTGATCACCCCCCTGAGTGACTTCTTTAAGTTATTGCGTGAGCGGTTCGCAGACGTCACACGAAGTGTTAGAGACTCTGACAAACTGCAGACCATCCATTCCCGTCAATGTAGAGTGCTAGGGCACTCAAGAGCGTTATGGATGAGTTGATTGTTGTCCCTGACCATGGGGTCATTGACACCCAATTGGTCCACCTATTCTATTGTGCCATGCCCGAGCCTTTGCGCGGGCACTTCTTTGAAAAGGGTAGGCAGTCTTCCATGACCTACGATACCCAGAGTAGGGAAGTGGTAGCATTTGAGGCACAATCCATGCCGGTTTCCACTTTCTAGCATAAGGACCTTGATAAGGGGAACAAGTGGAAGGGTCGTACCATCTCGAGTTAGGTTAAGGGCAAAGATCGCTTGATCCTTACATTTGATGAGGGTGGTATGGAGGAGGTCCCTTATAGTCAGATAGAGTGGGGCCTCGGAGAGGATGACAGTGGTGTGAGCCTGGGGAGGACTTATGCTGCTATCGCAGCTGGAGGGAAGCAGCAAGGAAGAGGAGGCCGGGGCCAAGGGGGTCGGGCCTCTGGTGGTCGAGGACAGGGCGCTCAGGGGGTTGGCGGCAGAGGAGACCGCCAAGAGGGAAGTAAGGGTCAAGGTCCCCCGCCAAATCGTCCGCATTCCGGTCGATCACCTCCCAGGAGGGGTGGATGGCACCCTGGCTGGTCACAAGGCAAACCCTGGGAAGATTTGTGCCTAGATCAGAAACTATGGCAGAAGAGAATAGACCAGGATCAATGCATTTATTGTGGTGATCTGGGGCACATTATAAAATACTGCCCCAAATATTGAGAGGTTTATGCTGCACATGAAGCAAAAGGCAACCGCTAGTAGGGGTCACAACTGCCCTTACCCCTAGACCATGTGGAGAAGAGTGCGCACACCACACAGAAACTCTCAAACCACATGTGTCTATGGCAGAGGTTGCTGGCCAGTGCCTAGAAAGTTGTCCAGAGACTGCTTGTGTAAGGGTCTCTCTAGGCACTTCCCTCATAGGCGTGGCAAAAGAATTGAAGGAGAGAATGCCTGTCTGGGCCAAGATGAATAAAAATGCGAAAGGACAACTAGTGTTAGTAGATGTAGAGATTTTTAGAGGACGAGTAGGGGCCCTTATAGATAGTGGGGCAACTCGCAACTATATTAGTAGGAAAGCGCTACAAAAGTTAAAGTTGAATCTAAAGGTCCAGAAGTTAGAAGACCCTATAGTCAGCATCGTCGCAGACAATCGCATTATGCGAGTCGATGAATATGTAGAGGGAGTCCAGGCGTACTTTCGCCTAGAGAAGGATGGGAAGGTACAAAGAGTTCTCCATTCCCTGACTATCCTCATAAAAGATAGCCTCCCATTTGACATAGCCCTAGGAATGGACTGGGGAGAGGCAGCAGGAGCCACACTCCACTTGAGAGAGCACGAGTGTAGACTCCCTAGCCCATCAGGCGAAGTTAAGACTGCTCGCCTGTTTCATGTGTCGGGGGTAGATAATACCTTAGCACATTGTGCCTCAGTGCTCCTGCATTCGCGCGGCTAGTGAGAAAGGAGCAATTAGAAGAACAGGTTTCCGTAGCCTATGTTAGGCCTGTCACCGAGCCTAAGGAAGAGAAACCCATTAACCCAGTTATTGCCAAGCTGCTGGAAGAGTATACAAACTTAGCTAAGCCGCTGACAGGGGTAGTGCAGTGGCCCATCCAGCATTGTATTGAGATAGAGCCAGGTAGTAGAACTCCTAAGGGAGCTATCTACAGAATGCCCCCAAGGGAGTTAGAGGAGGTGCGAAAGCAGTTAGACGAGCTCCTGGAAAAGGGTTGGATTAGGCCTGGTTCATCTCCTTTTGGAGTGCCTGTTTTGTTCGTCCCCAAGAAAGAGGGATAACAAAGAATGTGTATTGACTATAGCGGTCTTAACGCCATCACGGTGAAGAATGCAGAACCACTGCCCCGTATAGATGATCTGTTAGATCGGGTCCAGGGCTGCAAATACTTCTCTAAGATAGACTTGAAGTCAGGCTATCATCAGATAGAAGTCCATCCTGATGATCAACACAAGACGGCATTCAGGACCAGATATGGGCACTATGAATTTACAGTAATGCCTTTTGGACTAACGAACGCGCCAGCTACATTTCAGCGTTGTATGAATGATTTGTTTAGACCGTGGTTAGATCGGTTTGTAGTGGTGTACTTAGATGACATCCTAGTCTTTAGTAAGACCCTCCAGGAGCATAAGGGTCATCTGAGGCAGGTCTTGGAGAAGTTGAGGGAAGCTAACTTAAAGATTAACGCGAAGAAGTGTGAGTGGGCCAAGACGCAAGTTTTCTACTTGGGCCACGTCTTAGGCGGAGATGGTATCAAACCTGAGGACACTAAGATAGCAACGATTAGAGATTGGCCGACGCCCCACACGTTGACAGAGTTGCGGTCATTTCTAGGCTTAGCCAACTACTATAGGAAGTTCGTAAGGAACTTTTCCACCATCGCTGCACCCCTTTGCAGGTTGCTAAAGAAAGAAGCAATCTGGAAGTGGGACAAAGATTGTCAGCCTTGAAGAAGTTGAAGCGGGCTTTGATAGAATATGTAGTCCTCAAGGTAGCCGATCCGTCCCCGCCTTTCGTTGTTACTACTGGCGCGAGTCAGTATGGCATAGGTGTTGTCTTACAATAAGACGATGACAATGGCTATAGACCCGTAGAGTTCATGTCTGCTAGGATGTTTTCAAAGAAGGTAGCAACATCCACCTATGAGAGGGAACTCTACGCTCTCAGGCAAGCACTAAACCACTTGAAGCACTACTTGCTTGGGAGGCACTTCAAGGTATATTCAGACCACGAGACGTTGAGGTGGTTGAAGACGCAGGCCAAGATGACACCTAAGCTTACTAGGTGGGCCGCTGAAATAGATCAGTTTGACTTCGAGCTCAAGCTAGTTAAAGGGAAGCATAATGTAGTTGCGAACGCTCTAAGTAGGAGAGCTGATTACTTTGGAGCGATAGTTCACTATTTGGATATAGGGCAAGACCTGCAGCAGAAAGTTAAGGAAGCCTATGCACAGGACCCTATTTATAGTAATCTCCTCAAGAGAGGTAAGGAGTCTTCAAAATCTGAGCCAGACTACCGCACTACAAAACAATTATCATTCGAGAAGACTAATGTAGCTGACTGCTTATGCGTTCCCAACAGTGAAGAGATCCGTAGTGCGATCTTAGGGGAATGCTATGATACAGAGGGACACTTTGGTTGGCAAAAGACAATGGCTAACCTAGTTCGTGCATATACGTGGCCTGGCATGAAGGCCAACTGCATAGAGCATGTACGCAGTTGCAAGGTGTGTCAGCGAGATAAAACCACTACGCAAGTCCCTCTTTGTTTTCTCAGACCCTTGCCAATTCCCGACGGATCCGGAGACTTTGTGTCCATTGAATTTATGGATGCAAAGGTCAGGAGTAGGCATGGCAAGAGCCAAGTCATGGTTATAGTTGATAGATTTAGTAAGTATGTAGTGTTTGTTCCTTTGCCTTCTGAGGCACGTACAAATTTAGTAATAAAGAAATTTCTCGATCATTGGGTCAGTGAACATGGTCTGCCGCTGCCTATAGTTGGTGACAGAGATACCAGGTTCACTAGTCAGAACTGGCAGGAGTTGATGAGAGTCTACGACTCTAAGTTGCTAATGTCCTCTGGCCGTCATCCAGAGACCAACGATAAAATTGAACAAATGAATGAAGTCCTGCAGCAAGTTTTGAGAATGTACATTAGACCCGACCAAGTCAACTGGGATGAGATGATCCCAAAGGTAGCCAGTGCCTATAATAACAACATGCATTTAGCCACTTGTCGCACTCCCAACGAAGTGCATAAGTCCTTTAGACCGCGTAGACCGTTTGAGGGACTCAACCGGGATCAGATTCAGAGGCTACCACCCGAAACTAGGGAGTCTGCAATACAGCATGAAAAAGAGACTGCTACTGTAGTAGAGAACCTCAGGAAGGACCAACATAGAATGATAGAGCAAGCCAATAAGCATCGTCGTCCATTGCAGTTCCAAGTTGGCGACTTAGTCTGGGTTAAGTCAAAAGAGTTTGCTCATGAGGAAAACATCTCGCAGAAACTGTTACCTGCGTATAGAGGACTGTGGCCTGTCTTGGAAGTCAAGGGCGGAGAGGATGGACCGCCCTACACCATAGAGATTCCAGCACACCTCCACACCCACCCAATTTTTCATGCGTCAAAGTTGTTGCCCTGTACCACAAGTCAACAGTTTCCATCACGAAGATCCATGATTCCTCCGGACATGGATGGAAGGTACGACATTGACGGCATCGTAGGTGAAGATGTCTTTAAAACAGGAGGTAGAGGTCGTCCACAGAAACAGTATAAGGTCAAGTTCGATTTTCAGGAACCAGAGGATGACCGCTGGTTTACATGAACAGAACTTCTTGAGA